CCACACTGACTGTACCATCAATCAACACATGACTGTACTCACATGACGTACAAACATCCATCACATGATGTACCCCACTCCATCAATATGACCCTCCACTCCCTCACGACTGTACCATCACAAACTGTCCTCACCTTCCCACATGACTTACCTACATACTGCCAACCTCCATCCATGACTGTACCACACATCTGTACCATCACATGACTGTACCATCAATATTTTACCATCAATGACTAAAACCATCATTTGACTGTAATCACATACTGACCACACAGACTGACCATCATTGACTGTACCACACAACTGTACCATCACTATTTACCTACATGACTGACCATCAATACTACCACACATAACTGTCCCACACATGACTGTCCATCATTTGACTTACCCACAACTGTACCATCACATCTGTACCATCACATACTGACCATCACTGACGACCATCACTTACGTACCATCACAAAACTGTACCATCACTTGACTGAAACCACACATGACTGAAACCATCACTTGATTTCCCATCACAGACTGTACCTAACATGATGTAACCACACATGACTGTACCATCCATAACTGTCCATCACTCCATCACTGTATTTATAAAAAGTTTTTGTCTTACGAAACTAAAAAAGAAATTATTAAATTATCAAAATTTATATTCATCTATAAACATCTAAAAACATTTATAAAACATTTTAAAACTCTATAAACACTATAAACACTATAAACTCTAAAACATCTAAAAACATCTGTAAACATCTATAAACTTAAAACATCATAATTTTTCGTTTTATTTTATTCACCAAATTTTGGGTTACGGGGGCGTTTCACAGGTGTTGGCCCCGCGTCTTCACTGGTCGCAGTTGGTCCCCACTCTCACTGTTCCATGAGCTTTATATTACCTCTTCCTGAAGATGTGTATGGTACCTACCTTAACTGCAACACTCTCCAGATTATTCCACTTCTTGACAACTCTATGACTGAAGAAATCTTCCTAACATCCCTGTGGGTCATCTGAGTCTTCAGCTTCCAATTGTGACCCCTTGTTGCTGTGTCCCATCTCTGGAACCTCCTGTCTCTGTCCACCATGTCGATTTCTCAAAGTATTTTGTATGTCCTTATTATGTCCTCCCTGCCCCACCTGTCGTCCAGTGTCGTCTGTTCGAGTTCTCTTAACCTCTCCTCGGAGGACATGCCCCTTAGCTCCGAGACTAGTCTTGTTACTAACCTTTGCACTTTCTCTAATTTCCTGAGGTGCTTGGCTTGGTGTGGGTTTCAAACTGGTGCTGCATACTCCAATATAGGCCTGACATACACGGTGTACAAGGTCCTGAAAGATTCCTTATTGAGATGTCGGAATGTTATTTTTAGGCTTGCCAGGCGCCCATATGCTGCAGCAGTTATTTGGATCATGTGTGCCTCAGAATATATGCTCGGCATTATACTCACCCAAGATCCTTTTCCTTGAGGTGGTTTGTAGTCTTTGGGTCCCTAGATTGTACTCTGTCTGAGGTCATCTTTGCCCTTCTCCGATCTTCATAACTTTGCACTTGGTGGGGTTGAACTCCATGAACCAGTTTCTGGACCAGGCCTGCAGCCTCTCCAGATCCTCTCGTAGTTCCGCCTTCTCCTTATTAAGTTCACTTCATCTGCAAACAGGGATATTTCTGAGTCTCTTCTTTCCGTCTAGTCATGCATATGTACCTGAAACAGCACTGGTCCTATTACTGAACCTCCTGTGGTACCCCGCTCACAACAGCGGCTCCTCTGACACCTAATCATGTACCATGATTCGCTGATGCCTTCCCGACAGGTATTCTCTGATCCATTACAGTGCCTTCCTTGTTATACCTGCCTGGTCCTCCAACTTTTGCTCTACTCTCTTGTGTGGAACAGTGTTAAAAGCCTTCCTATAGTCTAAGAAAATTCAATCTACCCTCCCCTCTCCCTCTCTCTCTTGTCTTACTTGTATCACCCTGTCATAGAACTCTAGTAGGTTAGTGACACAGGATTTCCCATCTCTGAATCCGTGTTGGTGGTCCACAACTCTTCTCCTGATAGTCTTCTCCGTGACTTTGCGTACAATACATGTCAGTTAAACTGGTCTGTTGTTTAATGCTGTGTCTGTCTCTTTTTTTTTTTAATTAGGATTACATTTGCTGTCTTTCATTCCTCAGGTAGTCGCCCTGTTTCAATAGATGTGTTGAATATTGTTGTTAGTGGTACACAAAGTGCCTCTGCTCCCTCTCTCCTAACCCTCGGAGAGATGTTTTCTGGCCCTGTCGCCTTTGAGATATCTAGTTCACTTAGCAGCCTCTTTACCTCTTCGGTTGTATGTATCGTGTCCAGCACTTGCTGGTGTACTCCACCTCTCCGTCTTTCTGGAGTCTTTTCTGTCTCCACTGTAAATACTTCTTTGAATCTCATGTTAATCTTCTTACATACTTCAGAGTCGATTCTTGTAAACTCACCTATTTGTGGTCGCAGGGGCCGAGGCATAGCTTCTGGCCCCGACTCATTGCTGGTGGTTACTAGGCCCATTCTCGTAACTCTTCTTAAACTTTTGTATGGATCCTGCCTCCACTACATCACTCTCCAGATTGTTCCACATTCTGACAACTCTGTTACTGAGGAAATGCTTCCTAACATCCATGTAACCCATCAGAATTTTCAACTTTCATTTGTGACCCCATTGTTGCTGTGTCCTGGCTTTGTAACAGCCTGTCCCTATCCATCTTGTCAATTCCTCTCAGTATTTTATGTTGTTTTTATGTCCCGTCCCCCATCATCCAATGTCATCTGGTTAATTTCCCTTAACCTCCTAGTAGGACATACACCAGGGCTCCGCGTCTAGGCTTGTTGCAAACCTTGCACTTTCTTTAATTTCCTATAGTGCTTTACCAGGTGTGAGTTCCATACTGGTACTGAATACTCCAATATGGGTCTAACGTACACTGTGTAGAGTGTCTTAAGTGACTCCTTATTCAGGTGTGGAAATGCTATTTGTAGGTTTGCAAGGCACCCGTATGCTGCTGCAGCAATTTGTTTGATATGCGCCTCAGGAGATGTGCTCGGTATGATACTCATCCTAAGATTGTTTTCGTTGAGTGATGTTTGTAGCCATTGACCCCCTAGCACGTATTCCGTCTGCGGTCTTCCTTGTTCTTCCTCAAGCTTCATGACTTTACATTGAGTGGGGTTAAACTCCAGGAGCCACTTGTCAGACCAGGAATGCAGTTTTTCCACATCCCCTTATAGACTTAGCTGATTCTCGTCCGCTTATATTCTCCTCACTAGTTTGACGTCGTCGTCCAGTAGGGACGCCTCAGAATCTATTCCTTCCTTCATGTTTTTCACATACACCAAAAACAACTCTGGTCCAAGGACTGCGCCCAATTTGACACCTCGTCACGACACATCACAAGTTATTTCCGCTTTCTCAGGTATTCCCTGGTCCATTGGAATGCTTGTCCTGCTATTCCTGGCTGCTCCTCTAGCTTTTGTACCAATCTCGTGTGTCGAACTGTGTCGAATATGTCGAACTGTGTCGAATACCTTCTTACAGTCCAAGAAAATGTAATCTTCATCCCTCTCTCTCCTGTCTTACTTCTGTACCTAGTAGAACTCCAGTAAATTTGTGATACAGGATATACCATTCCTGAAACCGTGCTAGTTATTGTGTATGAGCTTATTCCCATCTAGGTGCTTCACCACTCTTCTTCTGACAGTCTTCTCCATTCATACCATACTATATGTCTGTCACTGAGACATTGTATGTCTGTCACTGAGACATTGTATGTCTGTCACTGAGACAAGTTATGTCTGTCACTGAGACAAGTTATATCTGTCACTGAGACAAGTTATGTCTGTCACTGAGACAAGTTATATCTGTCACTGAGACAAGTTATGTCTGTCACTGAGACAAGTTATGTCTGTCACTGAGACAAGTTATATCTGTCACTGAGACAAGTTATATCTGTCACTGAGACAAGTTATGTCTGTCACTGAGGCATGTTATGTCTGTCACTGAGACAAGTTATATCTGTCACTGAGACAAGTTATGTCTGTCACTGAGACAAGTTATATCTGTCACTGAGACAAGTTATATCTGTCACTGAGACAAGTTATATCTGTCACTGAGACAAGTTATGTCTGTCACTGAGACAAGTTATATCTGTCACTGAGACAAGTTATATCTGTCACTGAGACAAGTTATGTCTGTCACTGAGACAAGTTATATCTGTCACTGAGACAAGTTATGTCTGTCACTGAGGCATGTTATGTCTGTCACTGAGACAAGTTATATCTGTCACTGAGACAAGTTATGTCTGTCACTGAGACAAGTTATGTCTGTCACTGAGACAAGTTATATCTGTCACTGAGACAAGTTATTCTGTCACTGAGACAAGTTATGTCTGTCACTGAGACAAGTTATATCTGTCACTGAGACAAGTTATAGTCTGTCACTGAGACATGTTATAGTCTGTCACTGAGACAAGTTATATCTGTCACTGAGACAAGTTATGTCTGTCACTGAGACAAGTTATGTCTGTCACTGAGACAAGTTATATCTGTCACTGAGACAAGTTATGTCTGTCACTGAGACAAGTTATGTCTGTCACTGAGACATGTTATATCTGTCACTGAGACAAGTTATATCTGTCACTGAGACATGTTATATCTGTCACTGAGACAAGTTATATCTGTCACTGAGACAGTTATTCTGTCATGAGTATATGTTATATCTGTCACTGAGACAAGTTATAGTCTGTCACTGAGACAAGTTATGTCTGTCACTGAGCAGTTATGTCTGTCACTGAGACATGTTATATCTGTCACTGAGACATGTTATATCTGTCACTGAGACAAGTTATATCTGTCACTGAGACAAGTTATGTCTGTCACTGAGACAAGTTATGTCTGCCTCACTAATCTCATCACCTTCCACTCTTAGTCTTTTCATTTAATTTTTCTAATTATATTCTCTATTTCAGGAACAAGATGAAATTTTCTTCAGGAATATTCCGTGAGTAGGACAATTATGTTTGAGAATTCGGCCAACTTTTTGCACCTAACAGTAGGCCTACTGTGAGCTCCCAACAGTAGGCCTACTAAATGACGAAAAAGACAGTACCGTGACTGGAACGCTACACAATTAACCCGCATATAGAAGACTGGAGTTTACGACCATTCACAAAGTCACACTAACGAAAAGGAGAGCAGGATGGATATATATAGGCAGGAGGTGGTGGTAGTAGTAGTAGTAGTAGTAGTAGAAGTAGTAGTAGTAGTAGTAGTAGTAGTAGTAGTAGAAGTAGTAGTAGTAGTAGTAGTAGTAGTAGTAGTAGTAGTAGTAGTAGTAGTAGTAGTAAGTAGTAGTATAGTAGTAGTAGTAGTAGTATGTAGTATAGTAGTAGTATATAGAAGTAGTAGTAGTAGTAGTAGTAGTAGTAGTAGTAGTAGTAGTAGTATAGTAGTAGTAGTAGTAGTAATAGTGGTAGTAGTGGAGGGAAGGAAGTAGTAGCGGGGAGGTAGTAAGAGTAGGAGGGGCCAGTCAAATACTAAGAAAGAGAAGCACTACAAGGGAGCTGGTGCCCACAGAGGGTAAGAGCAATAACACCGAGGGGGGGGGAAACAAATAAATAAATAAATAAATAAAGAAGGAAAAAATACACAGGGTAGAAGAAAGAGAACCCAAAGGAGAAAAAGGAAAGAGAAAAGGGGAAGAGGGAGAAGAAGAAAAATGGAGGAATCAGGTTAGGTCACGAGTGTTTTGAAGTTCGGAGCATTTTACAATGTAGTGGGAGAGGAAGGCATCTACAGAGACGAAGCCACGACTAAGATTCATACAAGGAAAGTTGTGTATTAGGGAGGATTCAACCAGACGGCGACTGTTGAAGTTGGAAGTAGGGAAGACAGTTTTAGCAGAAGACCAGTCAATAGGATGACCGTGATCTCTGACGTGACAGAAAAGAGCATTATTGATGTCGGCAAGCCTGAAACCACTTTTGTGCTCCCTAAGTCTGTCAGAAAGAGATCGGCCAGTTTCTCCAAAGTACTGAAGAGGACAGGGGGAACAAGAAACAGAGTAGACACCATTAGCATCTGTAGAGGGAGGAGAGGTATGAACGAGATTAGTGCGGAAAGTAAGCTTGATGTCTAAGGGACGGAGAGAAGAGTTGAGATTAGAAAGACCGGAAATGTAGGGAAGGCAGAGGACAGAAGAGTTCCCAGGAGTAGAGAGTTTGGGAGAGAAGAAATTACGTTTAGCTCGTGAGAAGGCAAAGTCTATGAAATGTTAAGTGTAGCCAAGACGGGAAAACGAATTATGAAGAGTGGAAATTCCTGCTGGAAGGAACTGAGGATCACAGATGCGGAGAGCACGGAGAAAGAGGGAGATAAGAACACTTTTCTTGACAGAGAAAGCATGATAAGAAAAGTAGTGAATGTACATGCCACTGTGCATAGGTTTGCTGTAAACGGAAAAGGCAAAACCTGTGTCTGAGAGGTGGACATGAACAACAAGGAAAGGAAGCAAGAAATTAGATTCCTTCCACCACTTCCTGCCTATATATACCCATCCTGCTCTCATTTTTGTTAGTGTGACTTTGTAAAAGGTCCAAGTCGGACCGAAACGTCGTCGTAAGCTCCACTCTTCTTAGTAGGCCTACTGTTAACTTAGTAGGCTTGTTGCTAACTTAGTAGGCCTACTGTTAACTTACTAGGCCTACTGTTAACTTAGTAGGCCTACTGTTAACTTAGTAGGCCTGTTGCTAACTTAGTAGGCCTACTGTTAACTTACTAGGCCTACTGTTAACATAGTAGGCCTGCTGTTAACTTAGTAGGCCTGCTATTAACTTAGTAGGCCTACTGTTAGCTCAGTAGGCCTACTGTTAACTTAGTAGGCCTACTGTTAATTTAGTAGGCCTACTGTTAACTTAGTAGGCCTACTGTCAATTTAGTAGGCCTACTGTTAACTTATTAGGCCTACTGTTAACTTAGTAGGCCTGTTGTTAACTTAGTAGGCCTACTGTTAACTTAGTAGGCCTACTGTTAACTTAGTAGGCCTGCTGTTATCTTAGTAGGCCTACTGTTAACTTAGTAGGCCTACTGTTAACTTAGTAGGCCTACTGTCAACTTAGTAGGCTTACTGTTAACTTAGTAAGCCAACTGTTAACTTAGTAGACATACTGTTAACTTTGGCCTGCTGTTAAATTAGTAGGCCTACTGTTAACTTAGTAGGCCTACTGTTAACTTAGTAGGCATACTGTTAACTTAGTAGGCCTACTGTTAACTTAGTAGGACTACTGTTAACTTAGTAGGCCTACTGTTAACTTAGTAGGCCTACTGTTAATTTAGTAGGCCTGATGTTAATTTAGTAGGCCTACTGTTAACTCAGTAGGCCTACTGTTAACTTAATAGGCCTACTGTCAATTTAGTAGGCCTACTGTTAACTTATTAGGCCTACTGTTAACTTAGTAGGCCTGTTGTTAACTTAGTAGGCCTACTGTTAACTTAGTAGGCCTACTGTTAACTTAGTAGGCCTACTGTTAACTTAGTAGGCCTGCTGGTATCTTAGTAGGCCTACTGTTAACTTAGTAGGCCTACTGTTAACTTAGTAGGCCTACTGTCAACTTAGTAGGCTTACTGTTAACTTAGTAAGCCAACTGTTAACTTAGTAGACCTACTGTTAACTTTGGCCTGCTGTTAAATTAGTAGGCCTACTGTTAACTTAGTAGGCCTACTGTTAACTTAGTAGGCATACTGTTAACTTAGTAGGCCTACTGTTAACTTAGTAGAACTACTGTTAACTTAGTAGGACTACTGTTAACTTAGTAGGCCTGCTGTTAACTTAGTAGGTCTACTGTTAACTCAGTAGGCCTACTCTTAAATTAGTAGGCTTACTGTTAACTTAGTAGGCCTGCTGTTAACTTAGTAGGCCTACTGTTAACTTAGTAGGCCTACTGTTAACTTAGTAGGCCTACTGTTAACTTAGTAGGCCTACTGTTAACTTAGTAGGCCTACTGTTAACTTAGTAGGCCTACTGTTACCTTAGTAGGCCTGCTGTTAACGGCTAACATTAGGCCTACGTTTATACTTTATAATGTTTTATGTATTTTAAAATAAAAAAATTCATAGTAAATTTCTGAACTAAATTGTTAATACTAAATGTATTTGAGAAGCTTTTTATATTTAATTATTTTGAGGCTTTCTAAATTACTGTCACTTTCTAAATTACTGTCACTTTCTAAATTACTGTCACTTTCTAAATTACTGTCACTTTCTAAATTACTGTCACTTTTTAAATTACTGTCACTTTCTATATTACGGTCACTTTCTAAATTACTGTCACTTTCTAAATTACTGTCACTTTCTAAATTACTGTCACTTTCTAAATTACTGTCACTTTCTAAATTACTGTCACTTTCTAAATTACTGTCACTTTCTAAATTACTGTCACTTTCTAAATTACTCTCACTTTCTAAATTATCCTATCACTTTCTAAATTACTCTGTCACTTTCTAAATTATCCTATCACTTTCTAAATTACTCTGTCACTATCTAAATTACTCTGTCACTTTCTAAATTATAAATTACTGTCACTTTATAAAATAACTCTGTCACTTTCTGAATTACTCTGTCACTTTCTAAATTACTCTGTCACTTTCTAAATTATCCTATCACTTTCTAAATTACTCTGTCACTTTCTAAATTATTCTGTAACTTTCTAAATTATCCTATCACTTTCTAAATTACTCTGTCTCTTTCTAAATTATCCTATCACTTTCTAAATTACTCTGTCACCTTCTAAATTGCTCTGTCACTTTCTAAATTATAAATTACTCTGTCACTTTCTAAATTACTCTGTCACTTTCTGAATTACTCTGTCACTTTCTAAATTATCCTGTCACTTTCTAAATTATCCTGTCACTTTCTAAATTACTCTGTCACTTTCTAAATTATCCTCTCACCTTATAAATTACTGTCACTTTCTAAATTATTGTCACTTTCTAAATTACTCTGTCACTTTCTAAATTATCCTGTCACTTTCTAAATTACTGTCACTTTCTAAATTCCTCTGTCACTTTCTAAATTTTCCTGTCACTTTCTAAATTACTCCTGTCACTTTCTAAATTATCTTGACACTTTCTAAATTACTCTGTCACTTTCTAAATTATCCTGTCACTTTCTAAATTACTGTCACTTTCTAAATTACTGTCACTTTCTAAATTACTGTCACTTTCTAAATTATCCTGTCACTTTCTAAATTTCTCTGTCACTTTCTAAATTATCCTGTCACTTTCTAAATTACTCTATCACTTTCTAAATTACTCTGTCTCTTTCTAAATTATCCTGTCACTTTCTAAATTACTCTGTCACTTTCTTAATTACTCTGTCACTTTCTAAATTACTCTGCCACTTTCTAAATTACTGTCACTTTATTAATTACTCTGTCACTTTCTTAATTACTCTGTCACTTTCTAAATTACTCTGTCACTTTCTAAATTACTCTGTCACTTTATAATTACTCTGTCACTTTCTAAATTACTCTGTCACTTTCTTAATTACTCTGTCACTTTTTAAATTACTCTGTCACTTTCTAAATTACTCTGTCACTTTCTAAATTACTCTGTCACTTTCTAAATTTCTCCTGTCACTTTCTAAATTATCTTGTCACTTTCTAAATTACTCTGTCACTTTCTAAATTATCCTGTCACTTTCTAAATTTCTCTGTCACTTTCTAAATTATCCTGTCACTTTCTAAATTACTCTGTCACTTTCTAAATTACTCTGTCACTTTCTAAATTACGCTGTCACTTTTTAAATTACTCTGCCACTTTCTTAATTACTCTGTCACTTTCTAAATTACTCTGTCACTTTCTAAATTACTCTGTCACTTTCTAAATTACTCTGTCACTTTATTAATTACTCTGTCACTTTCTTAATTACTCTGTCACTTTCTAAATTACTCTGTCACTTTCTAAATTACTCTGTCACTTTATAATTCCTCTGTCACTTTCTAAA